TAGTACAGTGACACGCCACCAACTCGATGTTTAATTGATCCTAATTGCTTTACAATGTTTCGAGAAAAAGATCCAGACACAAAGAAACTTTGTCAGACTTGCAGATGTGTAACTGTACGCATGCATCTAAAGACATAACGTGTGTGTCTAACCTGATTCAGCTCACTTACGAATTTTTGTGTATTTCTTACCAAATTAAAGTTTTCATGTTGTTGCTCGAGGGAATGCTACGCCGGAAAAGTTTCTTATATGTTTTTAAACCTTATGTAATTTTTCATAAACATAAACTTGTTAGAACTCAGCCTCCTATCATCCCACACATTTCCCTACTAAAAGCCCAGGTAGACTGCCTCCTGTAATTGAACTGAACGCCATTGGTGAACACGGATCCAGGACCTTCATATTAACATTCTTGCGCAGTCAGTGAATTCGTAAAGTAAGTAAGTAAGTAAAGTAAGAGCTTTGTTATTAATGTGTCAGTGTATTTAGTTTTCACAACTAACTGAGGACACAACGAAAAAAATTAAAATTAATTTCAATTTATTATCTATTTTCGACCATATATGAGGTCCTTGATATCTAAGAGAATGTTTTCCATAGTTAATAGTTTTAAAACAAGGGATATCAAAATCACTGTTTCTTAGTGAATAACTAGTGCGTTTCTGCTTATAAATAGTTTGTCAACAATACTCGGCGCGAGGCCATATTTTACTTTGTACATTAATATAGCGATATCTTGTAGTCAAAAACAATTTGGAAGCTTTTTTAACAGTTATAAACGCAGTTTGTTGAAGCTATAACTGATTACATTTTACAAGTGATTTCAAATTGATACTTGCAGTCCAAGTGCGTTAAGAACGTATTTTTGTGAATACGTTTTAACAACAACATTCAAAGAATAATTACGGGCCCCGATCAATTCAAAGATTATACGCCCTTCCTACAAATTATAAACACATCATCCCATTATTTGTCATCTAAATCTCGAATGCTCATTCAAAATTTATGTTGCTACTCAACACCGCTGACGAAAACCGTGGGCTCCGTAAGCTGTAAAAGGTAGCATGTTTCTCAGTTTGATGAGCTCATTAGGTGTGCACCACGCTAGCTTGGCGCTAGCGTCGAGCTTCAGCGACCTACAACACAGAATGAAACTCAAGAGTTTCACCGTTAACAGCTTAACTTGCACTTCTAGATCGTCTTGGTCTTTCGTGAAGGTAAGAAAGGTTATATATTCTTTTACAGTTCTTTCAGCACGTGCCCAGATTGCCTTTATCAATAGGAAAATAATGGCCTAGTCTTTGATAGAGGTAGCTTTCACTTAAGTAAGCAACTCAAACTTACGCCTTGAACTCTGCATCATGATCAAAGATAATATGGTAGTAAAAACAGAACATGAAAGAGCATATTAAAGAAAGCTATCAAGAGAATGCGGTGTGCATTCGCCATGCTGCAACACCAAAGAGAAACACCGACGTAGATCTCGAAAAGTCTAAAAATTTGGAAAATTGTTGCTTTGTTTTGCATGTTAGGCTTCCTCAGTATCCCTAACTTAATTTGATGGTACAAACGTGGAATGAAGATTAATTTTGATATAAAAAACGATGAATTGACTGCTTTTCCTCCATGTGCTAGCTGATCTCGATGGCGGGAAGCAATTTAGTCGGATGCAAAGTGAAATACTGTGGGGTAGTATAATGGTGGAGCGAAAGCCGCACGTATCTTTTTAAAGAATATGTATTAATTGTTTATAGAAATATCTATAGCTATCTAAATAGACATATTTGTAAGGGAAATTTTGAAAAAGAAACGATGTCAACCTCTTCTGGAAGAATTGACAAGTGTCCCACCCCCGTGGGGTTTTATGACAAGTACCCCACCACCAGGACCGACAAGATGACAAATGCCCGAGGGGGATGGGCACGTAACTTCGTTGTGTCCATCCGAAGCAGAACACGTAGTTCAAACAAGCGTGATGATGATAGTTTGTACTACGTTGTTCCAGTTTTGAAGCCACTTGCTATTTTCTAATCACTGCCGGCTCTCAAGGGCTGCCAAAGAACAAAGGTGCTTTGTCAAATATTAAAAATCCTGACTAGATAAAAATCAACAGCGCTCGTTGCAGTGTTAGTGATATTGATATTGAATCGATAAATGGAAAGAAACTCATAAACATTTGCATAATACGAAGACAATGCAGCTGTCAGTTCCGAACACAGGAATTATCTGAGAGAAAATTTTGAATAAGGGACCAAAAAATAAGTCACATTGACACACCTGCAGACTAACACAACTATTAAATTTTCCCACAAATTTTCTTAGTTCCGTAAGTGATTCGAAAATTTCAAATTATTCTTATTTTTAACTTAATCTCAGTGATTTCGAATTACAACTCTTCCGCATCATCTTCACGTGCTCTTGCAGTTTATTGTTTATTGAACAGTTGAAGTCCTTTTCGTGGGTGGAAGTAAAAATATCTCTTAGGGGGCGGGTTTTTCGCAGCCATATGTCTTAAGAAATTGCACATTACTATTAATGATAGTAGAGTTAACTTAAGTGCTGACGGTAATAACGACCGCGAAAACATTTCGCCGGCAAAAATATTATGACCAACATAAAGGTAAGAAAGTAGACGTATACATTTTTGGTAAATGTATGATAATGTTGTTGCTAGCAACTGCGCGCGCGCGTTAAACCTCAGTTTGGAAATTTTTAGAGGGATGACTGAGAATGGTGCCGTCTCTCCTCATTTATAGAAAATCTTCACTCCACAATGCAAGTTATTCTCTCGGATGTATATTTATAAATACTGGAGGTTACAACGGCCTTTTCACAGACTAGTACACTAGCCCGGGTTAGTAGCGTGGATTAGTTACAGTTTTAGATGTATGTATCATAGTGGTCTTGAGCTTGAAATTGGAAGATACCCTTTGATCCTGTGCGCGTTTTTTCGTCCTCTCATTCGTATAATTTATATCGTGCCCAATTTAGTAGTATGCGCCTGCTACAATAAACTGAAAAAACAGGACAAATACAAATAAAACCCAAAACCTGTCAGTTCTCTCTCCCAAGTCTACACCCCGTCTTCACCATTTCGCCTAATGACTTCGTACCGACTTCATAACCCACGCAAAAAATGTTGTTTTCTATTTCCTGTTTTGTCTTGTCTGTGTTATTGATGACCTTGTTATGTTCATCATAATTGTTAATTGATAGGGCCACATGAATGGCGAGCTTGTTATTATCGCTGACTTTCAATAAAAATCTAAAGTTATATACACTCGTTCTTTAGTAAACGTTATCATGGATAAATTATTCTTAACTAAACCCAATCGTGAGTGTTAATTACAACAAGAGTAATCCCTAATCGACCCTCTAACAAGTGGGCGCGCACAACAAAAAGAGGTATAAACGGAGACAAGACAGGCGAGAGACTGGTACAGAGGGCAAAACGCTTGTTGGCGTAGGAGGCCTTTGTGCATATGTAGCGCCTATTTTTGTTGCACAAGCGGAAGCAGAGAAACACTTAAGAAAACACTTCTAACGGCGTACTGGTTATGTCTTCCTAAGGAGTACCTAGCACTGTTTTAAAAAACACAGCATGATATTGGTATATTAAGTTAGTGTATACGATACTTTGTTTGTGGGAAGTTAATTGTTTAGTTCAGTGACACGGCACCAACTCGCTGTTTAATTGATCCTAATTGCTTTACAATGTTTCGAGAAAAAGATCCAGACACAAAGAAACTTTGTCAGACTTTCAGATGTGTAACTGTACGCATGCATCTAAAGACACAACGTGTGTGTCTAACCTCACTCAGCTAACTTACGAATTTTTGTGTATTTCTTACTGAATTAAGGTTTTCATGTTCTTGTTCGAGGGAAAGCTACGAACATAAACTTGTTAGAACTCGGCCTCCAATCATCCCACACATTCCCCTACTAAAAGCCCAGGTAGACTGCCTCCTGTAGTTGAAGTGAACGCCATTGGTGTACACGGATCCAGGTCCTTTATATTAACATTCTTGCGCAGTCAGTGAATTCGTAAAGTAAGTAAAGTAAGAGCTTTGTTATTAATGTGTCAGTGTATTTAGTTTTCACAACTAATTGGGGACACAACGAAAAAAATTAAAATTAATTTCAATTTATTATCTATTTTCGACCATATATGAGGTCCTCGATATCTAAGAGAATGTTTTCCATAGTTAATAGTTTTAAAACAAGGGATATCAAAATCACTGTTTCTTAGTGAATAACTAGTGCGTTTCTGCTTATAAATAGTTTGTCAACAATACTCGGCGCGAGGCCATATTTTACTTTGTACATTAATATAGCGATATCTTGTAGTCAAAAACAATTTGGAAGCTTTTTTAACAGTTATAAACGCAGTTTGTTGAAGCTATAACTGATTACATTTTACAAGTGATTTCAAATTGATACTTGCAGTCCAAGTGCGTTAAGAACGTATTTTTGTGAATACGTTTTAACAACAACATTCAAAGAATAATTACGGGCCCCGATCAATTCAAAGATTATACGCCCTTCCTACAAATTATAAACACATCATCCCATTATTTGTCATCTAAATCTCGAATGCTCATTCAAAATTTATGTTGCTACTCAACACCGCTGACGAAAACCGTGGGCTCCGTAAGCTGTAAAAGGTAGCGTGTTTCTCAGTTTGATGAGCTCATTAGGTGTGCACCACGCTAGCTTGGCGCTAGCGTCGAGCTTCAGCGACCTACAACACAGAATGAAACTCAAGAGTTTCACCGTTAACAGCTTAACTTGCACTTCTAGATCGTCTTGGTCTTTCGTGAAGGTAAGAAAGGTTATATATTCTTTTACAGTTCTTTCAGCACGTGCCCAGATTGCCTTTATCAATAGGAAAATAATGGCCTAGTCTTTGATAGAGGTAGCTTTCACTTAAGTAAGCAACTCAAACTTACGCCTTGAACTCTGCATCATGATCAAAGATAATATGGTAGTAAAAACAGAACATGAAAGAGCATATTAAAGAAAGCTATCAAGAGAATGCGGTGTGCATTCGCCATGCTGCAACACCAAAGAGAAACACCGACGTAGATCTCGAAAAGTCTAAAAATTTGGAAAATTGTTGCTTTGTTTTGCATGTTAGGCTTCCTCAGTATCCCTAACTTAATTTGATGGTACAAACGTGGAATGAAGATTAATTTTGATATAAAAACCTTTAGCAACTTTAGAGTTTACTATTTGAAGTGCCTTGGGTTTTTTTATCTCCCTTGGCAATTTTGACACAGAAGGTTTTAAGGATCTTACAATCTTCACTTTATTTTCAGTGATGTGTTTGTTTTCTAGCCTGCAAAAACAGCCATCTCTCTTTGTTCCTCGAAAACCCGAGCTTTCGAGAAATCGGGATTCTTCTGTATTTTTTGTCTTAATTTAAAAGAAAAATTTCCTTGTCCTTGTCTCGACAACTGCTTTGCCCCCAAAATTAATAGAGAAAGTTAACCACAAACGACCACGTTTCCTTCCTGGTTCCGGTCGTTGTAGGTACAGAAACTTCATGAGCCGGACAAGTAATTGCTTACTGCGGTGAAGAAGGGCGTGCGAAATGTAACTCCAGTAACATATTGAAGAATATCAGCTTGATCAGTTCTATTTTAGCCGCGATAAACAACTTAGTTAGTCTTAAGCAATATTAATCAGATTAAAAGTACTTCGCAGATGCAAAAAAGAAAAAAAATGCTGTCCTTTGCTGTAAGTATCTGATGTGATTAACAGTCTTCATTCTTTAATATAGCTTGTGTTAAAGAGTCTCTCCATAAGGAGCCTAGAAGATTGAAAAGGATCTGCTCGCTGTGCCCGACTGAGACGTTGTGATTTCTTGTGTGATGGAAAATTCTTTAGACAACGAAAGGTTCAAAAACAACTTTTGCAGCTTGCTTGTGACATGTTGTCCTGCCCAGCTTGCTTCAAACCCAGTTTGAGGTCCGCCCAGAGATCTATACGCCCTTCTTTTACCTCACAGTTATTCATCGCTTTATTCTACATTGCAGGCCGCGATCATGAACGCGGAGGCGTAATTTCATTAAAGGTATCGCCCGTAGAAAGTATCTTTCTGTGCATTCTTGAGATTGTTCTCTAATTCAAAGTAACCTACTATTTACAAAAGTACGAAATGCCTCTTCTGCACTTTGAACTTTGTTATGGCTCGGCGTTGTAAACGAAGACATTTACGGAAGAGTGTTTGTTCTCTAGTTTCTGATTTCTTCGCCCCGCGTCTCGACTCTGGTTTTAATTTATGATCTTATCCCTCTTTTGTAGTTCATGTCAGTAGGTTTTGATGGTGTTAAATGGCTTTTGTTCGGAGACCAGCAGCTGCAAGTCCAGCCCTGCTGCCTCCTGAACACAGCAGCATTGGAAAATTTCTTGCATCATTGATTTGATTTTTTTCTCGAACCTGACTGTATTCGGTAGAAGCGTCTCTCTCCCTGAGCAAAAACTGCAATTGCACACTCGTCTTAACCCTTTCAGCCCTAAAGAGTGATCATCATGAAATTTCTCCTTGTGATATAAATGTTTTGAAAACAGAGTGGTCACGAGAATTGAGAAAATGATCACAGAAAATAACGTAATTGATACCTCAACAAATTCTCCCCACTATTTGTCTTAAAAATGTAGAGGAACAACAAATGAGAATCTGACTTTTGATAATGTTTATGGTTCAGTGAAGGGTTAAACCCGACTATAATTTGAACCAATTCGCTGCAAGCTCGAAACTTTGGGATTCCAAATATTGTAGTTGGATGTAGGCATGTTTATGTCCTCCCGTCTGTGGACCGACTTGTACTTGGGATTCACAGTGATGTTTTCCAAGGGACGATCAGTTTTGTGCAGTCATAATCAACCGTTCTGTTTTCAGTGATTGTCCATCGATTTCTTCTGACGTCACGCACTCAGTACTTAGTGCGGATGCATAAAAATATCACTTCTGACCTTGGCTAAGCAACAAACAAATTGCAATTCACTATGATCCGTAAATGTTTTTTCGTTTCTGTTCTCATCGAAGCGTTGCAAAATTACTCGAAATAAGAAATGAATGACGTTGCAATCTCTGACAATGACTGATTAGAGCAAAAAGACTGCGGACTCTTGTAATTTGAATACATTACAAGATGCAGTGGTTGCAGTCGGTCAATTAAAAGTGGCCTGGTGATGTTTGTTCATTACTTTCGGCCTTCGAGCTTTTATCAGTGAAAACCTGTCCAGCAAAAGACGAAAAACCTGTTCAGAAATTAACTTGCACCAGTTCTCTGTGATTTGATCAGTAGTGTAAACTTTACCTTTCCACAACAATTCAGCCACTACTGGCAGAATAAAAAACTTCTAAATAGAAAAGAAAGTACTGAACTCAGATCTATAAACTGTAAGGTTTATGATAGCCTTAATTAACCGAAGCATACTTTCAGTACATCACAAGTAATTGAGCCCTTTGAATTGAATGGTCACACTTTAGTGACTATATATTCACGGACTCAAAAGTTATGTCTGTTAGCCATAGGACTGCTTTAATTGCACATAGCTTAATAACCCTGAATAAATTTACCACAGGTAATAAGTTGCCTGTACTGTCTAGTAGCCTTTTTTTTTCAAAATTGCTAGCGTTAGGAACTTTATCGGCAGACACTTAAGGTAGAACCACTTCATAATTAGAAACCATGCATCAAGTGAAGAGTCAGAGGAAAGTTCTACTCTGGAGTCGTTTTAAAATAATTGGACTCTATTTCAGTAAGGTCTGAAGTGTACCTTGCCGATCAGAAAAAGTTATGTTCTCACAGTGGGATTTTAAAAAAAACAATAATTAAGCAAAAAAATTTCATGAACTTCTGAATGGACAAATTTTAAGTACTTTCTATAGACTTATGGAGTGACGTGTACTCCACCGACTCAGTTGTGACAAAAAGGATACAACCTGCGTATAGTTAACAGCAACGACAAAACAGGAACTCCGGAGTAGATTCATTGAATAGTTCTGCTAAGTCCCCGATAAGTCGGATGTGTACTCACCAGTTCTTCGCAACAAACATGCAAATAAACAACTTCAAATAAAGAAACCACATGTTCTAAGGTAGACAGCCGAACGTTTCACCTAAATCTGGGCTTTTGTCAGACCCTAAACAGGGAACGCATTTTCAAGGGTCGTCGCCACAACCCAAACTTATATCAAAGGTGGTTTTAACTATCCATTTCGTCTCTTAGTTATTAATGCCATCAATAATAAACAAACTGTCTCGGGGAACAATAGGCGTAAGGCAAGCATGTAATGTTGAAATGGGAAATGTTACACTCTGTCGCACAAAAAGATAAATTGTATATAAAGTATCGATTTAAATTTGAAAGATTGAAAGATAGGTCATTAAGACATACTTTGAGTGCTAAATAAAAGGAAACTTTATGGCTAAGCAGTTGGTCATCTAGATACATTTCGTCCATTAATTGAAGAAGCATCTATAAATTTTGAGTCTTATATGAAAAATAAACAAAATCTTGGTCTTGTATATCGTAGAAGTGTTTGATAAAATAAATGCCGTGAAAAGTTCAGGTATTGTCACTTTGCCGTCTACCTCAAAATTCGATCTTGAGTTTTCCAGTGTTGGGTGTTAATCGACTTGTACGCCTGTTAACAAGCACGTGCTAAAAATAAAAACGCTTACAAAGCCTTAAAATATGTGAAACTAAATTGATATATAGTGTGCGATTTCCTTTGACCCCTGCTGTCAGTCTTTAGAGAGGAAGAAATCGTCCGCTGATCTTTCACTCTGATTAAACCTCTCTGCAATTCCGGGTATAAGTTACCTCAGCATCTCTTGCTTCTCGGCTCTAACTTAAGCTACTACCACAGTATACTGAATCATTGAGCTGTAACTACATCGCGTGCTATCGTTTTGTTCACAATGAGCTGAGCTCTTAACTAATAATACCCGTTGGTGCATAAGACAATGTAGTATATATATTGCACGCTTACGTAAATGTTTCGCATAGCACTTTGTCAAAATGAATCGACTCTTATTTTGGAACGCTCGATAATGTGTCTTCGTCGCGGTCCAAATTATCAAGTAAGTAAAAATAATTTTCTTTGATACTTGTTATCATAGTGTTCACAATTTTAATTAGCATCCGTCGCTTGGGATAAATGTTCCTCAATGAGCTTATATTGCTCCGAAACACTTTCTCAGACGTACTTTGAATGAAAATCCGGCTTGCAATAGTAATTACATAAACCGCATAAAGATATGTCTGTATTCGCCTTATTAGTTCTGGCTTGGTTTGCTGTACGGCTTTTCATGATATTGTAAATCCACTAAAAAGATCAGATGGCTTAGGAACCCACAAAATCCATGGCAAGCTGGGATCAACTAAGAGCAAGAAAATGGCCGACTTTGACGTGTAGAGTATCCTTGAAGATGTAGTTGCGTACCTCCTTCAGGCTGCATGTTTTTTTAAAGTTTTCCGGATGTCTTGCTACGGTCTTTATATCTCGCACACATATCTAAGATTATTATTACACTGAAAAGTTCGCAGTGCTACCAAGTCTCTGCTGCCCAATTATTACGAGCGTAGTAAGCGAAAATCGGTGAGGCGACATTAAATGTAGGGTACAGACCGGACCGATTTCACCACTAACTTACTACATACAAATTGGAGTATTTAGGGTCAGATTACGTAAAGCCTTCGACTCTAACGCTATTGGTCCATTTTATCGTGATATTCACATGCACCTGTTGGCGACTTTCATGTTTGTATGTGTGTATAGAGTGCAGTGCCAGTTTAGTTCGTCAGTGCACTTCATGGTAAGCAGACACTCGACCGGCCTTGTTAAGTATCGGTAGTTGCCTTCATAATCATATTTCTTTTACTTTCAATAGTGACCCGTTAAAAAGAGAAGAGCATATTACACCGAGAAGTAGACAGAGATGTATTATAGGTTTTAAGATTAGACAACCAGTATTTCTGTTTTTCCTCGACTTTCTTAACTTTTTCATATATTTTACGCCCTACACTTGACCTTATACGTCGTATTAAAGATTGTGCTTTTCTTGCCTAAGGCCTGCCTGAACGCAAAATTAAGTTTTTCTATGATATCTTTTTCGGCTTTGTAGCAGTTGGCTTTGTGAAAAAAAGGCACTGAAAACGCAAAACTCAGACAAATGATCAGGACCATCGCGGTTATCTATTTATTCACAATACAGTGCCGCAAAGCAGTAATCTCTTGGCTCTAAAATTTAGAGTTATACCGTAAAAATACCTAAAATAGCTCTATTATAAATATATGCAAAAATTAGTGTTATATGATGCAAAGTAATATATATTACCCTCAAATGTGCAGTACACTTAACTGTATCATATGAGGCAAAGTTCATTTTTGACAGCGTACGTTTGAAGTTAGAGTTAACTGAAGAACTCTGAGGACAAATATTGGTCAGAAGCGTTATCTGCACCGTAAAAATAATTGAATAAACAAACAAACAAGTAAGTAGAGCAACAAATAATCTTTATCTATCATGACCAAGATAGATGCCTTTCTTTTGATACAGTAAATGTCATGAGTTTTCATAGGAGCAAAGGCGGCCACATCTAAACTTCGCTCGCAAATCACTTTTTATCTCACCAGGCAGCTGGTTGTATTAAGTTTTTAGTCAAAGACTCCTGTACACTTCACCTTGTTTTAATTCTTTAGACCTTTTTCAGTTATCTTAGAGGCGAATCAAAGGATATTGCTGACACTGCACGATGCTGGGCTAGTGACTTGTTATTGCAAAAAAATGGTAGCTTAGTTAGTACTGAGAAAAACAAAACGGCGGGTGGCGTAGGAAGTCGATCGTATGCGGAAGTACCAGCAGCTGAATGTATCCGTTTGCGGTTTGTTTTATTGTATTTCAAGCGGATATCAAGTGGTCCATTACAGAGAGCTTAATCACGCTATTCACAATAGTTAAACGATTTTGTTTTTAGTCAATAACGAGATTTTCCTTGTCACAAACAACTACAGAAGATAACTCTTCCGATCAAGAAATCATCAAAAACTAAAAAGCAGTGAATACTAAATAGATACAATATTAACAGATGAAGAAAGAGTAAAGATTTCCCCTTTCGGACTCCGCTTGTTTGTCTGCTAACGGGCAATTGTTTGGAACTTACTTACGCACTCGACGGCGCAGCTACGTCCTTAAGCCGTGGGAACGGAAATGCAATTATTGCAGGCGCACTTTTTCGTTGGGAAGCGCAAAAATAGAGGCCGCGAATGAGTTTAGTTCGTTTCTCTCTATGAATAAATCTATTTTGTATTTAACTGTACGGCATTGGGAACAATAGGTTAATACATTTTAATTGACTTATGAATAAACACGCTACATAATTTCGTCAGTACAGACGTCATGCATTGTTATTAATACTACACAGAATAAAGAAAAAATAAATAGAATGAAAAGTAAATAAGCTAATTTGCACACAAAAGTTTTGCCGAGTGAGCTGCTTTCAATTAGTGGTTTGAAAGTAACGTTAACTACTCGCCAGATGAAAACACTTTGTGGAACAAAACTCAACAGTACCAATAATACGACATGAAACAGTACTGCTCAGTAGCTTTATACAACCACCTCATGTACAACTTAGTGCCCAGCCAAACAGCCTTCAAGGATTTCGCGCGGTGCTGACAAATCTGTTCAGTGCCACTTACAGGAAATGATATTCAAATTGAAGTTCAGACAGGGCCATAATTGCTCGGGAAGTTGACCTAGGCGGGCTCTAATTGCAATGATAGACAATACTAACACATCCGATGAACGTAATGCCCTAGATTATTTTTTGTACACATGTTACATGTACATGAACCATAAACGCATAGACCTTTAACTGAACCATACGTGTTTGGAACTGGAACAGTCACTTCAGTTACTCTAACTGTCATTCAACCTGATAATGACAAAAGGTTGGCCAGCGCTGGTCAAATGTCCTAGCAACCTATTAAGTATTCAGGCAAAGATCGATGAAGTAGCCATAGTGTTGTATTTATATAAACTTCCAGAACTTCCCATCTCCTATCCACGTAGTCAAGCCGAAGTGACGTTCCAATTAACAACTAGTTAGCGCGCGAAATCTCGTGGGCGGGGGAATACCCGGTGGTTTAAGTGCTTATTCACTGAAACACGTGATAATTTGCGGTAGAGGGTCCAAAATTAGTCCGAGAAGAAAACATAATGTTTAAACGCCGTCTGATGATAGGTATGAGTCTGATTTTTAAAATGAGAAAAATGAGCGGATGGCAGGCTTTTGGATGCATATGAATTTTATAGTAAACAAGAATGTTTGGGCTCACGGCTCACACTTTGTCGTGTTCGAATTGAACGCTCCTTTTTCGGACTCGCTCTAGGTGCGTCAGTTTAGAAAATAGAAAATAGAAAATCTGCCTTTTGAAATCCATTCAGCTCTTGGATTTTCTTGTTTTTGACCAAGAAAATAGAAAATAAACCAAGTCTTAACAGAGTTACTCAACGACACATTTTTGAAAAATTATTTTCTTAAAGTATTTTTCTTATTAATACTTTCTTCAAGTATTATGACTGTAATCCTCTTTTGAGACTAAAAAATAAAAAAAGAGTAACAGCAGAAAAGTGGATAATAGACAAACTGAAAAAAGAAAACGTGCGAAAAGGGAAACGAGCTTCGGCAACGGCGACACACTTTTCTCCCTAGGAAGATTTTCTGATTCATCGGTCAACGCTTTTCAAGCCGAATCAATAACTAGTATCTCTTGGATGCATGCTTGATACAAGTTTCATTGTCACTTTTTTTTTATCAGAAAGTTACCAGAAAATAACCTGCCGTGGTTTAGGTGCATTTTTTGCAAAATGTATTTTCATGCATAAAAGAGTATTGAACTTATCCAGAAATATTTTCATATCTGGATGTTAAGTGAAGTAGTTATTTACATATTTAGGTAAGAAACAAACAAAGTAGAACAAAACAAAAAAGCGCTTTGTTCTTCACAATTAACACCCGCCCTGATTTCATCAATTGATCCTATTGATAGAGCCGGTGTTACTAGAACTTGCGAATAAATAAGTAAAAAAATAATAGTAAATAGTAACTAGTGCGTCATACGTCCTGTTAGAGGGAACGACAGCAATATTCAACAGCAAGTTGATTCGGGTAAATTTTTTGCGTAATAAAACCTAGGACTTATTCTCGAAAAAACAAAGAACTAGTAAAGGCCTCAATCACCATGGAATTTCTTTTGTTTCAATCTCTCGTGTTAATTCCTAGCGTGAAGAAAATTCAAACTATTTTGCAAACCTTAGCTTTGCGGGGAGAACAAAATTAAACCAGTGTACTGCCACATTCTAGAACACGTCATCATCGGTCTCTTACATCGCCAATATTCTATGATCGCAATACCTGTTTAGATTTAGCGAGTCCTTTTTATTAACCCAATGATGTCATTTCTCCATAGAGTTATTCAACCGTTGTTTTCGTCTAAACCCAGCCCTGTTAAAGCTCAGATAAGCAACATATATCATATGTTAAGTATTTTATTTTTCTCTACGCCCATATTTTAGTGATATTGCTGGGCCAACAAATTTGAGTATAAATAGCAGTAAAAACAAATGATGCTCAAAATCAAGTTAAAGTTAATTTTTAACACAAGCTGTCTCTTGAAGGTCTGAGAGATGAAGGTTTGTTTAATTTTGTTTTTTGTTCTATTTGACAGATTGCTAAGCATTAGTATTTTCCTACCGGCTGAGACATTTTTCTTTTAAGATATTTGTTTTGAGGAAAGTGGGAAGAGCCTGGCAGCTATAAATGTTAATTTAAACGTAAAAAAGATCAGACCTTTTAATAGTGAAATCGATTTTATTTTGAAATCACTTATACTGTACCCATTGAAGAATTATTCGTAACCAATGAGATGGGCATATTTTGGTTGGGTCACTTGTTACGGATCTTGTCATTAAAGAAACTGCAACATTTCTCATTTATTTCGATTAGTTGGGGTTTTTAACCTTTTTTTTTTTTCATTATCGAACACTCAGGTGACAAAACCTGAAAGCATCATGCAAGTGTACCGATTTTTATATCAGAGTCAGTTCCAAACCGTCGCGCGATGCAACAGGGAAGCTAGTCAGGAGTGAATTAACATCAGAGAGCTTCAGATTCGTGGACGAGATTTCCTCAATACTAAGTAGTACACGCACGCGAGCCAGCGTCACTTTGGCGGGAAAACGTGATAGCGGTCGCCATTCTACTACGAGAAGTCGTAGTGGCGGAAACAAGTTATCAAATGTTAGAAGTTTTATCATTTTGGTATATCGGGATAGGGCTTAACCTCCTTAAGTATAAATAACCGTTACTAACTTGTTTGGTATAAGAAAGTAAGATGAAGCTCCCCTGGGTGTCCTTTTTTAAAGCACACGCAAAAACTCTTGTTAAATCTCGTACATGTGCTCGCTCTCGTCCTCAAATCTAAAGTTCTCTATCTATACATATTCTAATGGATTATCAATTTTCAGCTTCTTGAGGTAAAAAAAATCGAGAAACTTTACGTTGATCGGCCTAAACGTGTGCTTGCAGAAATTTCGAGAGCAGACTGGCTCGCAAAATGTTTTGCAAAAGTGGCATGCCAAACAACCAAAAAACACCGGGTAATTACAACCCCTTACTGTTTGTTGTGGTTGTTTTAAGGACAAAGAATCCCGGGATACTCCCTATTTACATTGTAGGTGAGAAATTTGAATTAACCAACAGTACCTACTTCGTAGCTAGGACAAGCAAATACTTAGTAATTCTCATTGCCTGCGGCCTTTTAGAGCGGACTTCAGATCTGACCTTCTACCTTACGATAAAGACGTAATTATTTGTATTAAGGTATTTCATTTCTGGTTAAATTATACCACATTTTTTCAGTGAAGTGAATTAACCGGCATGGGCGCCAGAAGATTGTTAAGTTGTTTCATTGATTAACTGCTGATAAGAAATAAGTAGTTTATTCCTAATAAGCACTTATTAACCAGAATGACGTGTGTTCTGTCGGAGAAAAATTCAAAAGGGACCGGTTTTTTTAACATTGTATACCAGAATGTGCGTGAAAATTTCGTGAATCACAACTGTGAATGCAGCTGTGAATAGCCTATCGATTTAATTAAAAGCACTTATTAAGATTTAATTTATCGATAATCATTTGAAATTCATGTGCGTTTTAGTTTAATTATCTGTTTTTCTTTCTTTCTTTCTTTCTTTCTTTTTTTTCATTGCAATTGTCTTTAGAAAGCACCTTAACTTTTACCCTTGGGGAAATAGCTTCTCTTAAGAAGTTACTTAGGAATTTCAGTTATAAGTTAAACGGACGACCGTTGTTTACTATTTTTCAAGTTTACTTAGGGTAATTAGTTAAAGAGCACAACACTGAACATTTTTCAGCTATCCTGTTTACGGTTGAGATTAATAAGCTCATTAAATGATCTGAATTTCTTGTTTGTTTCCTTTGTTTAGTTTATTCTGCTCTTGGTGACATTTCTCACTACTATGACGTCATTTATTAACTCGTTGCCATGCCAGCAAAGGCCTGGAGTAAAATTAAAAGCTGCACAAGTACTACATCATCTCCGTCAAAGATATTTATTTGTAAAGAAATTTAATGTTGGGCGCCTTCCACAACCGAGGAAGACAAGATCGACCACTATACCTGGTACGGATTATTGTCCATGGGACTGGAAGGAGGACATAAATCCCGATAGAGTCCCTAGAACTCTCGTGAAGGCTGCGTGTCCCGGATGTTCACATTTTTGTCGAGCTGTTGTATATCATCACAACGTTTTGGTCTCGAGATGCGACACAAAAACGGGAGACAGGGTGTGGAAATGGAAACAAAAAGTTCTTCCAATAGCTTTTGTGTACGACCCTTACAAATGATTAGAACTGCCTCAACAGAGCCGGGAACATCAAGAACAGATTTTTATTTATATAATAATACTATAGATGCTTTTATTAGTTTCTGTGATTGATATTTTGGGGAACTGACGGGGAATATTTTTAAAACTTCGGAAATAATTTTATGAAGCTTAAAATGTAAGTCGTTTAGCATTAAAATGCAGATTATAAAAAGTTCCAAGTTATGTATAGATAGCATCGAAATTTAGACTTCTATGGTTTTCCGGAACTTCATCCACGTTAATTGGGAAATGGAGCTCCAGCATTTTCTAGTAATTTGATATTACCGAGCTATTGCTCAAGCCACGACTTATCTCGGTAAGCGGGCCAGCCCGCCTCCTCATATAAGCACGAGGACCATTTTATGAGGAATTAAATGAGGCGTGAACCCTTAGTACAATAACGCGTCATAAATTTACTACTGTTTAACCATGAGATTGTTTCAATCGTTATTACGAAGAAATCGGCTTTTGTCATAACGTATTTTTACTATTTAAAAAGGGCTTCGATGGCTTTTTTAATTACAGAGGCCAGGGGCACCCAACGACAGTTTCTTCCTAAAAACATTCAAAACACTTTTTAGGCTATCCAAAGTTCTGTTAGATCTCTAGAAATAAATTCTAAGCGGCACTATCAAATTTGTACCTAATCGGTCATCAGGGGGAACTGTTGAGTCATTTCGAAATTACAAGGGCAATTAAGTATTATTTTCTCCAGAATTTTAGATGTAATTTAACACATTACGATCACAGTTTTGACTCCGAAAATTTTAGGTTTCTTTTTTTGTAGAAAAACAGCGTAACCTGGGCAGTGAAATAGGGAAAAATCAAACTATAGAAAATCGTAGGGAATTTATTTGATAAGCTTCGACAATTGTGCATCAATGGAACGGGCAGCTAGAAATTTCTATCCGTCCTCAAGTAATAGAAAATTCAAGGTAATATTTGCTTCTCCGAACAGATATTTTACAGAAAACAGTCGTTGGGTGCCCCTAAGATGTATAACGGTAATGGTATTTTCAACATTTTGAATCGTAGAATAAATGAATCTCAGTTTATACAATATTTATTACGTAGAGGAATATTTAAGAGTGGTGTGAATTGGAGTGGATTTAAAAATTGCAAAATTATTTATTACCAACAAGAAAACCATAGGTCTGCTGGGAATTACCTGTATAATAAAACAAATAAAACTGTGTTGTTTTCTATTCACTACGAAACATTTCTGCTTAACAATAGCCTCGTAAGTACAAAGATAAACATTAAGTAGACCCCCCCTCCCCCACAAAGCGGGCATTCTGTATTGAGCGAACGAACGAAAAGGTCAATCGGTTCCAAACGTTTCTACCCCATTTTCTTGGCTGTAAAAACTAGCAAGTTATATTTAGGCCCTCGATCATTGGCCAGGGGCCCAGGATGTCGACTTATTGCAGGTTTTACGGTCTGTACTACACAACGCCCTCGAGTCTTGTCGTTGCCTCCAGTTAAAAACACAGGGTTCAATGCTCAACGTTCATATTCAACAGACGCTGAGTGATACTGCTGTCAGCTGTATTGTTCAACAAATTGCAGCTAGTTGAATGGAATCAAAGCCCATCCCTACAGATTCTCGTTCAAGAACGTTCCGTGTTAAATGGCATTACTCGCGAGCTCCTGCACCGTTAAATATGGTATAATACGTGCCGCACTGTTGGACATTGGTTTAACAAGAGCTGTAACATTACACTCGCTTAACAAGTGAGCTTAACTTTATGCAATTCTGATATGGCCAAATTAGGCAAACCTCCCAGCGTCACCACTCAGGTAAACTGGCAGGTTTACGCATGTGTAAGTCATGCCTGCACCTTCTCGTCGCGCAGCGATTTTAAGTCTATTCAACATCGATTTTATAGTAAACAGAACACTCCCTCATTGTCTGAGTTTGAAATAAATGAAGTCGAAAGATCCTTTGGCCTCCTCCCCCAACCCACCAACTCTTGCCAGCGAGCATAAAGACATTTAGCGAGGCCCGAATCATAAAAGCAATCGTTAGTCTCCGGTGTAGAGTATTTATCAAGCACGTTTCCTTACCCACCGTTTTCCTAACATGGATCAGTTTTTCAAAGCTCACATCTGAGTTAACCATGGCTCAGTCTCATCTCGAGATTAGCCGACAGATAAAAGTAGTTAGGAATGTGATCTTATTAAAGCAGCTAATAAAAACCTACCCACCCCTTCGTTTACGTCACAGAACTGAACTGCAGAGCATACACAAAATTAAGTCTCAAAAACACGGAGAAAGGTTAGAACGTTTACAAATAACTAATTAAAGAGATCGGAAAGTGGGGGCGTTTAGAAGATAATAGCTGATCGTTGAATTTTAAGGAGCAATATCGCTAGTATTTACCAATTCAAGTTCAATTTTGTTTTGAAAAACACGCTTATAGTCATTATGTCATCTATTTCGAGTACAAGATTATTAAAGATATACTAATTTAAAACTTCTTACACCTTAACAGACATTTCGTTGTATATAACAAGTTGGTACCAGTCACAACGAAAAAGAATGAACATTTCAACATTAGCCCTACTTTTCATCTACAACATGTTATCCATTTTTGAACTTAAGAGCTTTATTATAATTATAATAATTATTATTTCTTTTTACAGTAAATCATTCTCGGTACTTGGCCAGCAGAAACCTCTGAGGTGGACCAAATTGTAGTCGAAGCTCTCTACGGATGGATAACCTGTTTGAACTCCCACTCTGCATGTATCCACCCAATTCCGTACGGTAAGCAACCGGGAGTATTTTCGAGTCGTGGCTCAATAAGCGCTTTCCCTTCGTTTCCTCCCGTTAGTTTAGCAAAAACCGCGCTAAGGTATATAATATCTTTATTAAATACAGCCAGGTTTTATAAAATAACGGGTTTCTTTTTCCATGGTGCTACCGGCTTGGCATTAGCCGTACGTTAATTGAACTTCCGCAATGCCGGATAATGCCTCGTGACGAGCGGAATAAGCTTAAGCGGACGTCTATCCCAGTGTTTAAGGACTACTTAAACTGAAGCCAAAACATGGGATAAGGATCTTGTTTCCGCCGCTTACGGGAGCATTTTAAATAAAGGGTGCCTTAAATTGATGGCTTCAACTTAAGTTTCTGGGAAACTGCCCACCTACCCCTCCCTTAATCAACATTTAAAAAATCAAGGCTGTGCTCTAACAGAGCCCGGTGGCCCGTGGCGCTCAAATTTTGTTCTCGGGCGACTAGAAAATGTTTGCTTTTTCATAGAAATCATAAGCTGGGCACACTGGATTTCACAAGTTCAGAGCACTGGGCTCCCTTCAATTTTCCTTAGAGCACAGCCTTATATTTTGCCCTAAACCGGAGAAGTAATTGTTAATGTTGGCTTAGCTTAGGTGAGGGATTGGTGGACAGTTTCCTTGAAAGCTAAATTGATCCAGTTGATCTTCTTCTGGAATAAGAATACGCAGAAATTCAGGGACAAAACTCTTCAAGGGCAAATTTTTGGACCACAGAAATGCAACATGCATCTTGATAAATAAAAGCCAGCAACCTGCTTTCGCCATGGATTTTACCTTGTAATGAAAGCTCAGTAAAACAAGTGACTTTTAGAGTTACTAATTCTACATTCTTATTCCGAGAAACGGTCCGTCTCAAGTCAGTCGAACGCGCTCCTAAATTCCCGTTGTTGACTCATCTTGAGTTGTAGAGAAAGTAAATAAATTGCAAGAAACTGCGAGAAATCTAAATTAAATGGGCAGCTATGGCTTGTAGAGCATTTTTTTTTTTTTATCAAATAGGCATCACCTGGATCCTTAGCATAACTTAAAACAAACACACCGGACATCGACATGGGTTATGCTCTAACACCCCAACGTGTCCATGAATAAAGTCACGAGCCTAACAGGAACTATGAGGAAACGAGCAATAGAAGTAAGTGTTTTTTCCGAACTGCTTCAGCTCGATGTTCGGCAGTATAAAATCTAATTATGCTCTCAATTCATCAAAATCGGTCAACAAGAACGCTTCTAACCTGGATATAATGTTCCGCATTTGGAGGGTGGGCTCCAGGATCTGAGTAACCTGAGATCAGGCTCTATTTTCGTTTCGCTTTGTAAATAACATGAGAACCGCTCAAATTGGGCCGATCTCAGGTTGGGATCTGAGAAAAAAGAAAATGAATACATAAGCAGGCGGGAGCCCGAAAGAGATCACCTTCCTGTTGAAAAAAAAAAGGCGGGGGGGGCGGGGAGATAATGATTAAAAGATAATTTTAAGATATCCCATTCTACAAACACTTAGATCACATGACTATAACTATCATTAGGTATAAACTGAATCTACTCATGAAACATGAAGAGGCCAACATGTTCCAAAAAATTTCCGTGAAGGGAACGGTACAACTAATAAAGATACAAGAAGGAAGGAAGACCTTAAAGTGCCAATTCTTTTTGCGTACTTAATCAGTTCTTGTGAGGAAACCCCTTACTAAGCGCTATTAAAATCGACCTTACTCAGTTCACCCAAATTGCAAACAGATAACTATGAACTGAGGTCATCTGACGAGTAGCGAATGGTTTGGTTGTTAAAAACACCGCAAGTTAATGATATTTTTATAGTTTAAATCTCAGTCCTCGCCATCTAAAATCAGGCCATGCCTACGCAGAAAGTAATAAGTCACAAGATTTTATTGCAGGATGCAATAAAAGCAGTAAAACACTCGGAGCCAGCCAAAAATAACCGGCTAACGTTATTTGTCTGAAGGTTCTCTGGGCATGCATGATAGGTTGAACACGGTAAAATATTGCTTGTTTATGTGTAAACTCTAACCTCTCACCAAGGTGACGGACCAGGCCCCTGAGCGGAGGCGGACATGCACAGTTGGTTTGCCTGCTATTTAACGAGGCCTATCCTAGGCGAGGCGGACTGACTAAATGCTGATAACTGCTTTTTGAAAAGCAATATTCTGGCTATAAATACCATTCAGGGTGCATTGTGATAAAAATTCAAAATTTTGTAGCCTGTCCATTCAAAATTAAGTACTGGTCTTGGGGTCAATAAAGTCAGTAGAAAATTGATATCACTGCTAGCCCCCAAATCATCAAGCATTGGAAAGTTGTAGTGGTTCTCACTTTTCAAGTTCGTGTCTGTTTCTTGAAATTTCAAGCACAAAGAAATGAGTAAGAGAACGGATACAATATATGGGTCTATTCCACTTTTTTACTGAACTTTTCTCAGACAGTCTTGCTCCTACTTAAGCCACGCCTGGTAAAACGATGTAAATGAACTTTGGTAGTTTGGTTTTTAGGGCGTAGAGAGAGGAGTTATCTGAAATAAGTATTAGAATTGATTAAACTAGATTTAAGAGAAGAGATGCTTCGCCCCTATCGTTTTTAGTAGGAATAGCCGTTTACAAGGGCGATTTTTCTAACGATGTGTTACTTTAGCGTGCGCCTTCTTATACGGTGACTACTGCATTGAGGTTAGCATTGAAATTGGAAAATTGCTTGAAATCCAGCAATAATTACATCGCCATATTTGAAGTCAGCAGTTTGAATTAAGGAAGCCACTTCTAAGAAGTTAAAACCAGTCAAGAGAGAGATCATTCTCTCTTGAAACAGTTGAATGTAAGATTTGATGTGACTTAAATGAGAGATAACTAAACACTGAAATGCGGTTTAAATTTTGAGTGCGGAATTCGATTCAGATAACTTTCAAAGTAAAAGACCGTACAGCCCTGCAGGAAGAATTGCAGTTTGTAGTCTGCTTAACAAAGGACTTGATTCGTGCTCCAGTTTCACCCAAACTTAATAAGTGTACTATTTCTATTTTACGGTAATGCTTATGATACGATCACCAAGATGGACTGAAAAGTATCCCATTATGCATTGTGATTTATACTAATATTGGAAAATTTCGTGACGTCAAAAAGGTCTTCCCTCCACAAATAAGACAGGACACTGGGAACCAGATTGTTCCTTACTTGATTGTTCAATGATGGCGTCATTTTTTAGTAAGATCTTTTGGTTAACTCGAAAACCATGGTTCAGTTTTTTTAAAAAATTACCCCACTACTATACCTCAGCTAAAAGAAAATGTCTTTGGTTTTAGATGGCCAAGGTGGACAAGGGTTACAACTTAAGAAAAATCAGACCCACTTTTTTAAGTCAAATTTCAATGTGCTGTAAAAAAAAAGTGTGCAGAAACTGATCATTCTTCGTGTTCCCGTTGTTAGAATCTTTTGATATCTTTCTTATAGTGTTCCACGTAGGATAAAAGATGACTGAGAACACTTAGTTATAATTTCAGTTCAACTCTGAGCAAAACGGTATAACTCACCATCTCAATTACCGCCCCTAAGTTAGCTTTAACACCGTCCTCGGTGAAAGCGCTTCGGTCCTATACAGAACTGTAAGATGTCATCTTGGTGAACAAGGACGACCAACAATAGGGCCATTTATACGAGGAGAAATAAGACGCGAACTTTCCGTATAAACGGCACATTTCGTCTAAAATAAGACGCGGCTTAGCTAATACGCGTCTTATTAGATAAGACATGCTCGTATAAATGGTACAGTTCGCGTCTTATTTAAGACGCGTCTTATTTTTCCTCGTATAAATGGCCCTATTAAGGTTCTAGAGAACAGTCCAAGACCCTATCATTTCCTTGATTGAATGTTTGTTTCCTTAAAGTACCACTAAAAGTGGGGTGGTTTCTTCTTTTATTACAAAGTTAAGAACTGAAAATGGACTTAATTTGCTTAATTCTTATCTCTAAGTTTGTGATGACTGTGTTTATCAAGTAAAACAACACATAAAGGTAGCAACGGATATAAAATTTACATAGATGATATTTTTCAGAATTTCTTCACACCAATATCATGTTGGTTAGTTCAATTTTCACGGGCTTAGCCATGTATTCGTGCGTGAACGTTTTGGTCCTTTTTCATTCATGCAAACAAACACACACTCTCACACGTGGCATCCATGCTGTAGGGAAGCAAATAAAAAACCGTAGGCAAGGATACCATATAATGTTTAGAGTCCCTTGAAATAAGTTTGTGTTCCGCCAAGTCATTCTGATAACTTGGTGGGCGACGATTTCAAGGTCAGTCATCAAGAGAATATGATTTGAAGTAACTGGTGTAAAAGAAAAAAAATCGGGTCCCGAATGACGTAAAAGTGTAAAGTGTAAAGTTAGGTGAACGAACTTACAATAAAACGTTTCAGATCTATATATACGAACCTTGACCCGTTTCCCTGTTTAGCACTTCATCAGTTTCAGTCAAGCATCAATTCAAATTGACACGGCTGTGAGTTAACGGTAATCAACAAAGATGTCAGTTAGTTCAATATGAGAACACATGACGTAACTTAAATGATACTTGCACAATATCCTTACTTTAAAATAGCATATAAAATGAAAATTAAAAATTTCATCAAAATCATAAGTGTTTCATTCAGGCAAGAAACATGCAATCATATTTGGAACTGCTACCTTAATAATACACGGCCTTTAATTTCAATTTTTTTAAAATATTATCATGATATGAACGTTATCACGTTTAACGAAATTAAAATTTTATTCATCCGGAACCTGTTAACACAATTAACATAACGGTAAATTGACTTTAAATTTGTTGTATGCGAGCTCAGTAACTTGATTGTCAAGTTTAATTTTGAAAAAACTAACAAAAATCCTCAACATTTTCGTGTATTTAATGCTTACTATGAACATGTGTCATTGGCCGTTCCATTCACGCTGTTGATACTGTATTTTGTCACACCCTTCGATAACGTTTATTGACATTATCCCTGAATTAAGAAGCAAATAGGAGAACTCTATTAGATACATCACATGAAGAAGACGTAATATGGAAACTTTTCTGATAATGCCCAAAATATACTGCTGTTTCTTTATTTAACGAAATGATAGTACAAATAGGTAGTCACGAATAAAATACCGCTGCAATTATGCCTGGTTCGCGCTTTTTCACGCTTTTTCCGTTAAGTGAGGAAATACGTTTACATATTAAGTCCTACGATATAATTTCATTGTCCATGACTGCTGAAATGAGGGCAACCTCTAAGGAAACTCAAGCATTCTTCCGTAAATTTTTGAAAAAACATTTCAATAACTACCAAATACCGGGTTAAAATAATGACTCTCAAAGGGAAGAAAAACACGTGGATGTAAGTTTTGCCACATATATTAAAATGATATAATACGTCTAACTTCCTTTAGGAAGACATCTCAGTTTGTGGGCCGTTACACGTCTGTTCCTATGCAGAAAATGAGGAATTTGTGGCTACTAACGTTAATTAATACTGGTAGCAACGGCCTTAATTTACTTGCCGGCTTTCCTCAAACGCTTCCATAAAATGCCATTGACATTATTAACGAACACAAAAATAGACAAAACTAGGTCGTCCGTGACTAGTTGGGTTNATACCGCTGCAATTATGCCTGGTTCGCGCTTTTTCACGCTTTTTCCGTTAAGTGAGGAAATACGTTTACATATTAAGTCCTACGATATAATTTCATTGTCCATGACTGCTGAAATGAGGGCAACCTCTAAGGAAACTCAAGCATTCTTCCGTAAATTTTTGAAAAAACATTTCAATAACTACCAAATACCGGGTTAAAATAATGACTCTCAAAGGGAAGAAAAACACGTGGATGTAAGTTTTGCCACATATATTAAAATGATATAATACGTCTAACTTCCTTTAGGAAGACATCTCAGTTTGTGGGCCGTTACACGTCTGTTCCTATGCAGAAAATGAGGAATTTGTGGCTACTAACGTTAATTAATACTGGTAGCAACGGCCTTAATTTACTTGCCGGCTTTCCTTAAACGCTTCCATAAAATGCCATTGACATTATTAACGAACACAAAAATAGACAAAACTAGGTCGTCCGTGACTAGTTGGGTTGACTTTTTTTGTTTGTTTGTTTGTTTTTAGTTTCTGAAAGCATCATAATCTCTCAACAACTGTTCACTATATTTTCCACAAGACTGTTTTTAAATTACAGTTTTCGATTTAAATGAAATATGATTATTGGGCGCAACGATCAGATCGGAATTTCACGGAAGAATAAAAACCGTGCGTATAATTAAGTTACCGCATTCTTTTAAAACTTAAGACAGTACTAGGAGCTAACGCAGTTACTAAGAGCAGAATAGTTTCCTCATATCTATCACTTTTAAATTTTAATTGTGGTTTCCTAGAAACTGTACTACCAGAAACTTCTCATAGCAGAAAATGGAAACTTGCAGTTACTTAGAAACTTAGAAATTCAGGGGTAGGATTACCGACCAAGTTTATAGACACCAATCAGGTTTTGCTAACTTAAAACCGTGCCTTCTTGGAGATGTGCAATCCTGAATTAAACAACTTAAACGTATTTGAAAGAAAACGGAAGTTGTTTTTCTTATCGGCAGGCGTGAAGCATGTAGGACGGAGCCTTCGTTTTAGGCGTGGTGAACGACATCCGCATGTTAGTGTGGAACATCGAACTCCGTCCGACTAAAAAAAGATTAGTGTGTCAAGTGAATGGAACTCACTTACAGTGGCTACTGTAGCTAAGCCCTATATTGACGATAAAGTTTATTTTTGCCTTAAAAACAAACACATACGTAGGTGTAACGGAATTATTTCAACTGAGAAAAGCTGACTGTTTGAAAAATACGGTGGGCACAGAGTGTATATAAGTGGACTTACTACCCCTTTGAGAGCAGAAAGCTTGCTGACCATAACTCCCAACAAGTAGAAGAAAAGGCAAGAAAAGAAGCGAAAAACTTCAAGACAAAGAAAGGAAGACAAGAAGAACTATACAGAAACATTTGAACGTCAACTGAACAGCCTGAAGAAAATGGCAATTCAAGCACAGACAATACGAGTAAAGGTAAATGGAACACTTTTCTAAAAATGACAATCATTGTAAACTGTTAAGCTGCAATAGCTTTACACAGCACTTTTACGTTTAAACTTGACTAACATTTGCGTAAGAATACCTTGCTCATGAATAGCTTTTAAAAAATAAACATACAAAAATATCAAAACAGCTGTTTAAACCAGGGGACTGCTCACGTAAAAATCGGTAAAAATGATAACAGATTATAGACTACTACACCTGAATTTACACTGAATTATAAGTTGCAATAGTTCGAGAAATATGACTACTAATCAACGATAAAAGTTTTCTGTTTGTCCGATAGTTTTGCACAAATAATTGCAAAGTTGACATTGCTAACCCATTTTTATATAAGTGCTAGTGGGATTTTTTAATCAATGTGGTTCAACTATAACGGTTACTTCTTGCTCAATAAAACTGAGCATTCCCGACAGATGGAGCAGCTGTGTGAGCCTGAACGTATCGTTAACATGTACGGTTCTCTACTTAATTGGTTAAAGAGGCAAGATTAAGAAAAAAAAAACTAACTCAAACAAAGAGTCATGTTTGTATAGATAGAATTCCATTGATAGTAACCTGGACTTGCGGGGAAAAATTGCCCCAAAACCATCCAATTAGTATAGGGAATAAATCCTTCTTCATTTTGTATACAAAGTAATTTTAGAAGACCAAGAGAGAATTTCGCAATACTGTCCCTCAGTTTATCAAGGCTTGATTCAGTCCCGTCTGAGACTTTTATCCTGGTAGGTACTTTGTCCCCTACCCGTACGACATCTGCGGCGACTGAACTTTAAGTACCTCCATGATGATAACAATATTAATGGCAATGACAAAATGATTGATAGCTAACAAACAACAATTTCCTATGTCCTCACTCTTAAAGATCATAGCAATCTTTATAAAAACCTGAAGTTCCGAACATTTCCGTGATCTTGAATGATGGAGAGTTGTTGTCTATTAAAATCGAAAGTTTTAAACGGCCAGTTCACTTCGGCGAATTTTTCGAACTTGCGCGCGAGAGAAAAAGAAAAATAATTTGCGTCATCGTTACCGACAATGGCGTAATTTTTTAACAACAATATTGAAACTTATAATTTTAAACGACCATTTTTGGAGAATTTTTCGTGGACTCGCGCACGAGAGAAAAACAAATTATGCCGCCAAGACCAGGTATTTTCATTGCCATTGAAATGTCTCTGGTCTTTAAACGATGACACAGTTTGTTCCCCTACACATTGAGAGCAGCTCCCGTACAATAAATGGGTAAGAAATTAGTCCCGCACTTATTGTAAAATTGACGATAGACTGTTATTGCATTTTTTTTCAGTTGCAATCCTGGATAACTGTTCTAGTTATTCTAATGTTCACAACATCATTTCAAGGCTCTGACGGCCGTCCAACATCGCGCAATCTCACCGATACTAGGTGCCTGCATAGATTGCGCCATCGGTACCTATTCGTGGAATACGGTTTGCATCCTTCCAACGATACGCAAATCAATGGCGAAAGTAACCGCTACAGCGGGGAGAAGGGAGGTACTACAGGATATTGTCCGTGGGTTTGGGCTTTTGACGAAGACGTTGACCGAATTCCTAGGTATCTAGCGAAAGCTGAATGTCCTCTATGCGGGTTTCAATGCCGACAGGTTCGTTACTGGCACAGTACTTTGGTCCAGCGGTGCACTGGTAGAAGTAGCGCGTTTTGCACGTGGAAAAGAAAGGAAGTCCCGTTGGCAATATCTTTTATTTATGACCCTTAATGACGACAAAGGAAACAGAATTATCTTTTTTGAATTTTGTGGGCATGTAAAATGTAGGATATAGATAGGCAATAGAACATTTTGATAGGAAATAATAAAATTTTGTACAATTTTTGGCCCACATTAAATGCTTTTAATGTAATTTGTGACAAAGTTATGTTACGCCACAAAAATCATTGTACCTACCTGACTAAAAAGTCAATAAACGGAAAATTTTCATTTACATATTTCACCTTTGCCTAAGGGAGATGATGACACTTATCTATTTATTGATTGATTAATTAAGAGAAATATGATCCTGTACATTCTTTGCTTCACACTTAGGTGTTTTTTTCGGTACATTTCCTGGGACTCTGAGTGTGGAGCAGGCGCTCAAAAAGTTAAAGGCTAGAGTGGGGGGTTTGAAACTTAAAACTACAAAAAATGAGAAATCCTTCTTAATTATTTACATTTTATGAGAGGTATCTTCTCACCGTTTCTTGATGTTGTAAGCAAAACTTTGGTTGGGGGTATTTTTCCCCTAAACTTAATTTCCGCTGTAGATCTTAAACACAGCGCAAGCTTAATCACTTCCACTCCGAATAGTGTGTGTTCCTAGGTCTCTATCAAATCCTTTGCCAACTCAAGTTCGAGTTTCACAGACCTCTTAATTACAAACTCAACTAGTGTCGATCCAGGAACCAATACCACAGGTAGCCCAAACTCTATGAATTAGGCATGCTGTAATGTCACGTAATAACATTATGTAATAGCGAACTCATGTGGTTCTGGATGGGGGAAAATCCAGGGGGGTAATTTCTATAGTTGTATTCTGGGACGCTCCGCCCGAAACTGGTCCATATTTTCAGGCTTCAGGAATGATGAAGGGTAGGAATTCACTACATAGTTGAAATCAGGAGCCTAGTAGGACCTCCTAGGTCAAAAGTCTTAGAGGACTGAAGCAAGCCTTTATTAACTGAGGGACAGTATAACGAAAGGTCTCTCTAAGTTTTCCTTAAATTTCTTGTGAATACAAAATGAAGAAGGATTTATTTCCCACCTTAGGAGAAACTGTAATAGGCCACTTCTGAGCTCTAAAACCCCTCAATTTCAAAATGAGGCCAAGTGCACAACCTTTCTTGTGAAAATGAGTGCCATTTGCATGAGAATGAAAAATCATTTCCATATCAAAGGCTGAGCACTTAACCTCGTTTTGATAAAGAGGCCTGGGGGAACTCAGAAATGGCTGCAAGGTTTTGGGTCAATTTGTTTTCCAAATAACAATGGCACATAGTTTAACTAACTTTTAGTAAGTCCAGGTTACTATCAATGGATTTCTATCTATACAAACATGGCTATTTGTTCGATTTAGCTTTTTTTAAACTTAATATTGCCCCTTTAATCGATTAAGGGGGCAGCCACACATATATACGCTAAGCCCGGGGATACTCTCTTATATAAGCCATATATGTACGTGCCATCCCAAAAGGTAGCAGGGTTTTTGCACCGTTTTGGTCGGAAAACTCGAAGACTCATGCACCGTAGCAACAAGAAATTTGAAAAGAATCTATCATGGCTTCACAATTTGCGAAAATTTATTTCCAGCCAGAAGGGATTTTGTTTCCTGGATTTTGGATGATTCTCTTGCCTTGAAGGCTTTGCAAGTTTGGTACAGACATCACAGACACCTTACCATGGTGAGCACAGGTTTCTCCGTTCTCGGAGACCCAGGGGCAGATAGTTGGGGGGCAAAGGAAAATCTAAACAGGCGGAAATTAATAACGCGAAGAAAATTAAAGAACGGGGAGAGGAGTCCCTCTGGCTCCACTGGCATTGCGTGAATTTTTTTCCAGAATCCAACTTTGAAAGTCGAAGACATTGACCAATTCGGTAGCTCAGACACCTTCATGTATAGCTCCAACAAACTGAATCAACAGGTCAACCAGCAGAGTATCAGTTATGTACTAAAAAAGGCAACATGAGATAAATAGGAAAGTATATGTACGGTTTGCAGTTAAGCTAGTCCAGCAGATTGGACTGCATACGGTTTAGCACCGGATCGAAATGTTACAGTAAAAATACAAATGAATTTTAAAAGGCTGGCAGGTCCCTCTAATTAAGGCGCATTTTAGAATTTTGTGGTTATTTTGTTGTTGTTATGTCAGAAAACCGGATCCCTGATCCCTTACAATACTATTGATCCTGTGATCCTGCGGCTTGTGATCCGAGATCCTGGCGCTGTGATCCCTGTTCCCATATGCCTAGTCACGACACTGAAACTTTGTTGAGGTCCCCTCGGGAGGGAGATTCGATTTCATGGCAAAATTATGAACGTAAATATCGCTTACTTTAATTCTTTTGCTTGTCTTTTATGTCTGGTCTGGGGCCGATTGTTGTTTCAGGTCCAACACCTGTTACCGATGTATGCACCTTCCTAATATAGTGAAACGCCACCAGATCCACCGGGAGAAAAACAGCCATGAGTAAATTCCTCCGGAGCCTCCGATCACCTGAAAATTTCAAGAAGACCCAGATCGAGATAGCATATTCGTGGTCCGCACCAAGGTGCTGAGGTAATAAGTCCTCAACAGTTTCCAAAATAATGTCCGCTGAGACGCATCGAAAGCACAGCACTGCACAGCATCCGAAAAACGCAATCTGTTAGCGCTTGTTGAAAATTAATTAACCTTGCAAGGTTAGCTTGTAACTCGTTGCTTAACGTCGGCGAATTATCTCGTTTATAAGTGGGAAACTTAACTGAATCTAACAACTAATCACCTTATCTCGGCCTTACTGTGGAGAAAAATACTGAAATAGCCTACCTGGATCCTTGTGGATATTTGACTTGAGGCGATTGGGAAAGTGTTTGCGATCTTCCCGCCCGGTGGGCGACAGTCTTTTCTCCTTGCCCTCGGGTGACATTGACCTTCACCAACCAGATGTCAAAGCAATAGGACTCTTAGGCGGGGTCGCTAAGCGCATCATTCGAGCGTCTTTCGGTAAATCTCAAAGCGTAAACAGATGGTTTCCCTGGTATTTGGCGGGCGAGAGGTAAAGAGACCTCTGTCGGCCGAACACCAAAGGAAAAGGGCCTCTGATAGTAGGGAAAACGCGAAACGGACACTGTTTTTATCATGGACGTGTTTTGTTATTTTCTGCCGCGGTCCACGTAGAGTCGGAGCGTTTACATATGGTCCGGTTGACTGTCATCAGTGGATCTGGTTTCGCGAGTTGACTCTGCAAAGGTAATGTAAAACTTGATAAACGCTTGATTAAGCTTGAATTATTAGCGCCCTGGCCGGCCTGTTTCAGGAGTTCAGATGGTGGGGAGCGCTTTTTTTTCTCGGCAATTTTTCGGTCGCGCTCTACTACATCTGAACGCCAAGAACCACAGGCAGACCACCCTCTTAGTGGGGCCGTTGTTGATTGAAATCTGAGCATCGATAATTTGTTATTTATAGAGGAAATACAGATGAATAATACGGTGGCTATAATTTGCTTATTTCGTGAACGTGAGCTGATGTAGTTCATTCAATTGACGTTTTTGCTGAGAGGAAAACTTTCTGGTGCCTTGGGTGCAGACCGGGGGGAGGGGGGGGGGAACCTACCTGACTAAAAAGTCAATAAACGGAAAATTTTCATTTACATATTTCACCTTTGCCTAAGGGAGATGATGACACTTATCTATTTATTGATTGATTAATTAAGAGAAATATGATCCTGTACATTCTTTGCTTCACACTTAGGTGTTTTTTTCGGTACATTTCCTGGGACTCTGAGTGTGGAGCAGGCGCTCAAAAAGTTAAAGGCTAGAGTGGGGGGTTTGAAACTTAAAACTACAAAAAATGAGAAATCCTTCTTAATTATTTACATTTTATGAGAGGTATCTTCTCACCGTTTCTTGATGTTGTAAGCAAAACTTTGGTTGGGGGTATTTTTCCCCTAAACTTAATTTCCGCTGTAGATCTTAAACACAGCGCAAGCTTAATCACTTCCACTCCGAATAGTGTGTGTTCCTAGGTCTCTATCAAATCCTTTGCCAACTCAAGTTCGAGTTTCACAGACCTCTTAATTACAAACTCAACTAGTGTCGATCCAGGAACCAATACCACAGGTAGCCCAAACTCTATGAATTAGGCATGCTGTAATGTCACGTAATAACATTATGTAATAGCGAACTCATGTGGTTCTGGATGGGGGAAAATCCAGGGGGGTAATTTCTATAGTTGTATTCTGGGACGCTCCGCCCGAAACTGGTCCATATTTTCAGGCTTCAGGAATGATGAAGGGTAGGAATTCACTACATAGTTGAAATCAGGAGCCTAGTAGGACCTCCTAGGTCAAAAGTCTTAGAGGACTGAAGCAAGCCTTTATTAACTGAGGGACAGTATAACGAAAGGTCTCTCTAAGTTTTCCTTAAATTTCTTGTGAATACAAAATGAAGAAGGATTTATTTCCCACCTTAGGAGAAACTGTAATAGGCCACTTCTGAGCTCTAAAACCCCTCAATTTCAAAATGAGGCCAAGTGCACAACCTTTCTTGTGAAAATGAGTGCCATTTGCATGAGAATGAAAAATCATTTCCATATCAAAGGCTGAGCACTTAACCTCGTTTTGATAAAGAGGCCTGGGGGAACTCAGAAATGGCTGCAAGGTTTTGGGTCAATTTGTTTTCCAAATAACAATGGCACATAGTTTAACTAACTTTTAGTAAGTCCAGGTTACTATCAATGGATTTCTATCTATACAAACATGGCTATTTGTTCGATTTAGCTTTTTTTAAACTTAATATTGCCCCTTTAATCGATTAAGGGGGCAGCCACACATATATACGCTAAGCCCGGGGATACTCTCTTATATAAGCCATATATGTACGTGCCATCCCAAAAGGTAGCAGGGTTTTTGCACCGTTTTGGTCGGAAAACTCGAAGACTCATGCACCGTAGCAACAAGAAATTTGAAAAGAATCTATCATGGCTTCACAATTTGCGAAAATTTATTTCCAGCCAGAAGGGATTTTG